TAGCACATTTCAGCAGCAAGGCATTTCAAAGTGCTTTACATAATTAAAATAAAAACAGAAAGAGATTTACAAAACATTAAAACGTAAACAGTGAGAAAGAAATAAAAAGCTGTACTTTAGTCAAAACGCCGTTTGACAAGGACTCTAACCTTTCAGACTTTAGTCAATGCAGTAACGTTTGGGGACGCAGTAACGCATCCCCAAACCATTATACTTCCACCTCTATGCTTCATTGTTGGGATGAGGTTCTTTTCCTGTAATTTTTACCAAACATCTCGTAAGTTCCAGTCTCAAAATATTCAAAATTTAGATTGATTTGTCCAAAGAAAAGTATTCCAGAGAAACTGCCTGCTGTCTATGTTCTGTCTGGCAAATCTTACTCCGGCCTTTATGCTTTTACTCAGAGAGGAAAAGTTTCCTTCTCTACGTTCAACCTTCAAGCAGTCTCTTTCTGATCTCACTGACATCCACTTTTATCAGTAGCAAGAGCCCGCTGCTGCTAGGGCGAGCTGCTTTGAGTGTCCTCTCCTTGCAGATTACTTGTCATACAGCCTGATTTCACAATTTTGGAGACACCTAAGAAGCCCGTTTCAAACCCATAAACAACATTCTTCCTGAATGCCTCAGTCAGCTCTTTTGATCTCACCATGGTGTTCACTCTCACCCTATTTCCAAGAAACACTGGGATAGTCATACATGTTGTGTCTCTGGTGAGCTCGACTATGTCTTATTGTCCGAGAAGTCAATTTTACACATAGTTAAACTAATTTGGAACGTTTTTTTTGTGTGTAAAAAAATGAAAGAAAAGAAATCCGCTTTCTGCCTATTCTCTTTCTCCCTCTGCAGGCAACCTCTCCAAAACCTGCACAGCGGACGGCTGGACCGAGATGCATCCTATTGACATCGCCGTGAACTGCGGCTACAATCTCAATGGCACCAGCGACGATGTAAGTAAGCCGCCGACATCCATAGGCTGCCCCCGAAGTCCTATGGCGAATGAATGCAACAGTGCAACAGTGCAACAGGTCAAGAGCCAGTGGGCAGGAATAATTCAGCGAGAGCTTCTTTTGTTTGCTCTTTGGGTCAGTGTTGGTAGGTCTATCAGCAAGATGGCTGTATCGATTGTTGGCTCGAGTTTTCAGCTCAGATCTGCTTTTATTTACGTTTGTCACGGTCTCTTGCAGAGGATGATATTTAACCTTAGCACCGTGACGTTACTGCAGACAAATCCCCAGAACTGTGCGGGTTGCTTTTGATTTAAAAATGCTTTAAACAATTCACAAATACGCTGCCTCCATTAAAAATGAACACACCCATAAGTCAACACTGCTGACGGTTTGCTGAAGCATCGCAGTCTTGAAAGCAGGACTCATCAGACATACTTTGACATGACCGGGGTCAGTCGGAAAGTCCCGCTCGTGTTATCGAGCTTTACGAGACGTTATTCGCTGCGCCTGCAGGAGACGGAGAGGATAGGGTGAGGGAATAAATACATTAGACGCTGCCTTCCTTTGGTTTGTTTAACCGGAGAGAGAGCAAAGCTGGTCTGTGTTTATGAAGGTGGGGCAGGGCGAGGAGCGGAGGAGCACTACACGGCAGTAAAAAGCTTTCTTGGTGGGCAGTCTACTTTCTGAGTCACACGGAGCCTCATTAGTATTCCTCATAGGAATTCAGCAAGGTTTGAACGAGTCGGGAGCTCTAAAAGGAATTTGATGTCCGTCTCTCTGCATACTTGATGGCTTTGTGTATCGCAGGATGCAGAGCTTCTGATCTCATTTTTGTCTGAAGTGAAACATACAGGGCGACGGCACAAACACACCGGGGAACAAAGACATTTCTTAGGCCTAAAGTGAACCTTTATAAAATGGTTGGGATTGATTTTTGAGTTGAAAGGAAGATGCAGCGCCGCAGTTTCAGAAAACCAACAATGGTTTTAGCTTATAGTTGATTCATTGAAGACGTCAATAAAAGAAACGTCTGGAATGACATTTCTTTTACTGACGAAGGCAACTACATTATTTCAGAGTTTTATTCTGCATCACAGAGGACAGAGTGTCTCATAAATACATTCATGTGCCTAAAGCTTTTCCATATTTTCAGCATATTTTGATTTAATGGGATGAATGCACACAAAATTGTAAAAAGTGGAAGTAAAACTGTGACATGAATTTGCACTCATGCCCAGTAACTCGTTGAAAACTATCACTTTCCATTCACTCAGAAATCACATGCTGTTTGACGCTAGTCTGTTTCATAAAATGTAATCTAACTCTCATAAAAATGTCGGTGGTTTTGACGAAATTAAAAAAATCTAAAGTGGTTCAAGTATCTTTGGCACTTTAAGAGCAGAAACGAAGGAAGCTTTAGCAGATCAGAAAAACTCTCTCAGCACTTCCAACTTCAGTGAAAGGCCGTATAAAACGGGTCAGGATTGATGACCAGGGTTAATCGTGGAGTAAGATTTCTGTTGCTTTTAGAAAAATTGTGTTTTTCACACATGATAACAGTGTTTTCTGACGTTTTCCTTCCCAGATACCTATTCGTTTTGATCTGCCAATAGAGCAATCTTCTCTCAACCCCCCCAAAAATGTGTCTTTTTGTGAAGTGTGACACCTTCTTGATTGTTGCATTTGAACATAGCAGAGCGGGAACAATCATGCCTCTGGCAGAAAAGCTGTCTGGTACAGTGGGATTTTTCTCCCTCAGATGTAAAATTTAGTTTTACATCTGAAGTTTTTCTTTTTGGCTATGCACAAAATTATGTGTGTAAATAAATTTCCTTCTCCCCCATTTCTTGTCATTTCTAGGGAAAGTTTTTCTGGCAAGTCAAGGTTGGCTACACCATTGGTCACAGTGTTTCGCTTATCTCTCTGATTACAGCTATTGTGGTCCTCTGCATCTTCAGGTAAGTAAATTCATCGCTGACTTCAGCTTCACACAGTTCTCAAATCTACTAGTGTTTTGAGTAAATAATAAAACACTGTTGATAAGTATAGTTTTACATGTGCAATTGCTTAGCGAGATTAAACATCTTGGTGTGTTAGGTCTAAAAAGAGTTTAGTTTAAGTACATCAAAGTCTAAAAAGCCATAAATATGTTTCCAAATTCCAATGTATTAAATTAAAAAAAAATGAATGAGGGTAGCTGCAGAGGACATTATGTTTCAGTTGTGTTTCTGACTGTTTTACACATCACTATTTACAAACCACTGTGAGATTTTTGCACATTTTCAGCCACAAGGCAACTCAAAATGCTCCACATGATTAAAAGGAAAGTGAAACAACAAACAAGCAAAAACCTCTAACCAAAGGGCCAAGCCTTGATTAAAAAAAAAGAAATGCAGCATTTCAGCTGAGTTTTCTGGAAGTTTTTTTTTTTTTTTTTTTCACGATTAGCATTAAAGCTGAATGCTGCTGTTGCTCTATGTTGGGTCCTGGTCCATTCTTGAGGCAGGACAGATTAGCAGCTCATCAGTTTGTGTTTGTGCTTCCCAGACATGTCATAACGGGTTTAAATATATTTGTTCTCACATTTAAAGTCCTGCATTGTTTTATTTTTTACCTTTGTTGTGCCTATTAAGTAACTTCATTTCACTGTTTCTTCACTGTTATTTATACTGTAATGGATTTTGGTCTTTCCGTTGCCATTTCTGTTTATGTCTTCAATATTTGAGTGGAGAATATCTGTAGGCCAGGCTTTCTTTGGTTCTGGATACGGAAATAAAGGTGATGCATCATAGATGACATGGCAAATTATTCATTTCTAGGGTCATATAATGATGGAGCCCTTTTTGATCAGATTTATCATTCACGGATTAATGCATTTTCACACCGGAGCGTAACACTCGTCCTTCTTTTAAACCACAAAGGATGATATGAATGATGCAAACACTTTCCTTATGCTTTGAAATGCCACTCAAACTTGAGGAATCCTTTTTAGGATTATGATGGAAATAAATCCCTAAATATATATTTGATTGTCAGGGAGCGATTGCATTTTCACGCCAAGAAAATGTTTACATTTGAGTAAGATTATTTATTTTGCTTTGTTCAGTTGAAACTTTAGCAGAAGGCTTTTCAAAACAGAGATATATCCTCATATTAGATTCACATGCTGTATATTGTATTCATTTTTCTTAAAAGGGAATTAAATTCCTGTAAATAATTTTCCTGCAAAAATCGCTATTCATCTTGTCTATAAGCCTCAACTTATTATTAGTATTTATTTTATTTATTTATTTATTTTTGCTTCAGAACAACATTTATTATTTCTACATGAAAAAAAAAATGTTTTCGAAAGTGTAGCCCTGATTAGTTTTAGACACCACTTCTCCCATATTTATTTTAGAGAAAATACCTTTTTGTTGCCTCTGGATTTTTGCCTCAAAAATCTGCATTATTTAACTAGTCAGTGAAGAACTGCCAACAGGCGTGGCGCAAGCTGTGAAAGTCTGTCCACTTGAGATTTTTGCTGGCACCGGTTGCATCAAAAATCATGCAACAGGACAAGGTCAGAAATCTAAAATAAAGACGAGGAAAACACAGATTAGAGGCCTGTTGAGAGGGGTTGGGAACTGGAAGCCGATAGTAGAAAGATTTAGTGACGGTCAGTAATAGGTCAAAAGGAGTTATATGTTACCAAAGTGGCATGATGATATAAAATGTTTCACAAAATAAACATTTGACAGCGATCTGAATCGTCACATTTGAATTGAACGCCTTACGCTTACGTCGCTGTTTGGCCAGTTTGAATGTCTCCATCTTGGTCTAAACCAGGGATCAGCAAAGAGCCATGTTTGATTTTGCTCCTACTAAATAAAATTTGTTGCTACATCTACCTGACCTTTGAAAAAAAAAAAAAAAAAAGGAAAATCAGGTCTAATGTGATTTGTTTGTTTTATGGTTAAATCTGTCACAGCTTTATCTTTACTTTTAGGTTACAGAACAAAGGAAAGCATCTTGAAAGGAATTTTTTAAATAGATGAAAAATGATTGGGAAAAAAAGCATAAATTGTGCAGTGTAGGGACAAAATAAGTATCTGAACTAGAAATATAACCTCTGTATCAAAAGTGCCATTCGATTTCAACAACTCTGCAGATATTTCAAGATAACCTGCAATTGCAAATAAATGAACGGAAACAGGTTCACTTGTAAGAAATGAATGTTTATAATTTGGAGCAACTAAATTTAGAAAAAAAAATTTTAATTTTCTGAATAATTGGAAAATATTCAGTCAGTTCTCATCTCTTTCACTAACTGTTTAATCACTCTAGTTATGATAATGTAATCAGGAGCTGAAGAACTATTACACACTGAATAATGGAGAGTTTAAAAAAATGTTTAGTCGATTTGAAATGCACCTCTTTTGTCGGTTTTATTGAAGAACCATATAAAGCGTTCAGGATGTGTGATGTAGATCCAACCACTTAGCGTGTAAATGAAGTGGGAGCTTTAAGTTTGATTTATTTCAGTCAGTGATTCTGCTATTAATGCCACGGGGCTGAGGATAATTAGACTGCGTTAATTAAAAATTCAGCATGTCTCGTTTCCTCGATCTGTATTCTTGTCTCTCTTTTCTGTTTATCCCAGAAAGCTCCACTGCACAAGGAACTACATCCACATGCATTTATTTGTCTCGTTTATCCTGAAGGCCATTGCCGTGTTCGTCAAAGATGTGGTTCTCTACGAGTTTGGAGAGGTCGACAACTGCTCCTTAGGCTCCGTGAGTTTATGTGTTTATCATTTAATTACCTTTACATTTATTTATTTAATTCGGAATTTTAAATTGACACTTTTAACCGCTGAAAACCAGTATGGAGTTCAAACATTGTTTTCTGTAAGAGGTAATGTTTTTATATTGTTTACCATCATGATCAAGTCTCTTCTGGTGTACCACAGAGTTGTGTACTTGGTCCTACACTTTTTATATGGCACAGTTGAAAGTTTTAAATATATGATTAATGGATATATCAAAATTCTAGAATAATTGAATGTGAATTAAGATGGCCGTGTTCATCTTCAAGTACATTGAAAGTATACGTGAAAAGTTTCAATTCCTGTGTGGTATTGAAAGTTTTTAGGTTGACAGGCTGTAGCTGCTGGTCAGAGAGAAAGAGAGAGAGAGGTTCAAAAGGTATAATATAGAGAATATGAGTTTAAGTGCTTGCATTAGTTCCATTATGTTCACCAGCTTAAGCTGATGTCACTCTGCGTAAGTGTAGGCGGTCTGCGTGTTTGCGTATTTACCCATTCATGTATGGTTCAATGTTTTCTGTAAATATCCATTAAATAATTCTATAATGTACATGTTCCAGCAAATTCTTGTCAGATTGTGTCTTAGATCAGTTTGATCATCAGTTTAAAACTTATCCTGCATGTCCAAAAAGAAGATCATGACAAGATAAAAAATGTAAGTGAAGTAAGTGACACATAAGTGAATTCCTACTTCAGTGCTTTTTTTTTTTTTTGGAGTCAAAATATTTCCCAGTTTTTGCAAAGGTGTGGTTGGTGATGATTTCTGTAAAGTAGGGGTTACATCAGATTAAATGCACAAAGCAGTTTTAGAATATATATATATTATTATGACTAATTAATTAATTGGATGATTTTGGGTTTTGTGTGTGCTTCCAGGTTGGCTGCAAAGCCGTCATTGTATTTTTTCAGTACTGTGTGATGGCCAGTTTCTTCTGGCTGCTTGTGGAGGGCCTCTACCTTCACGCATTGCTGGCTGTCTCGTTCTTCTCCGAGAGGAAATACTTCTGGGCTTACATTATGATCGGCTGGGGTGAGAATGCAGTTTTTTTTTTTTAATAATGCTCCTATGGAGTGCTTGCAGAAAAAGGCAGGAGAACTTTTATGAGAATCCAATCCTATTTTTGATTCGGGTTTTATCTAACTGTATTTCTCTGCTGCTTCACCAGGAGGTCCGGCGATTATCATCACAGCCTGGAGCATCGGTAAAGCGTACTTCAATGATGTAGGGTGAGAGAAACAACCAGAAACTGTTAAATCTTGTCTTGCTTTGGTTTTCCATATTTTTAGTACCGTTTCCTGTCTCCCTAGGTGCTGGGACATTATCGAGACCACTGATGTGTTCTGGTGGATTATTAAAACACCCATTTTAGCATCAATCCTGGTAAGTTTTACAATATGTCAATCACTTATGTCAAGTCTGTTCAAACCTTCTCACTTGTTGGTACTGCTTCGAAAGGTGGATGGTCATAACGCGTTTTCTTTTTGGACCTCAGCCGAGAGGAGAGAATAGCTCTCCAGACATTGAGATATGGTTAGTGAAGTTCTGCCTGACGAAAAGTCAGTCATGTTTTGATGGGTTGGAGTATAAAACTGTCTCTGAAAAGACAAAAAACAGTCAAATGTTTGGAAAACTGTGTATTTTTTTGCATGTATTTGATCTTACCACCAGCTACTTTAACACTGATGACACCAGTATTTCTTTACCATTCATATAGATTTTGGTGATTTTCTGACAAACAAACCATACACTCTCCCACAAGATTTTAGGTGGTTTTAACTATCCCAGGATGTTATTTGGAAGGAAGGACTTACAAAGACATAGTCCCGACATATGGAGACGATTGCAAAATGTAGAATGCAACAAGCACCCGGTGGAAATTCCTGCAGCTCCTGAGGTGTTGCTCTATTGGAAACTTGTCTGAGATCATTTTGATCCTTTGTGCACAATACACCTTTGACTGAAGGATGCAAATGTGCAAACAGAGTAAAATGCAACTGGGGAAGCTGAACTTCGTTTTAGATTAATAAGTTTCAACATAATTGTTACATTTATTACATTAAATATGGAAAAAGTTAGAAAATTATTTATCATGATCTCATGTTTTAAGTAACGGAGAGTGTGAGCACGTTTGAGAATTACTGTTATTCCTGGTTTAATAAGTGGCTAATGATAAATGTTTTTCCTAATTTCAAGAAAATATACATTTTGAAATTATGGCAGTAGGTTTTCATCATTCACAGATGCCTTCTGATGCTACTGTTGTTTTCTTTCATATGAGGAGGCTCAGCTGTCTTCTCACATTTCGTCTCTCTCATTAAGTGTCACCTGAAAATGCATGTAATGCCAGTTCAGAGTTCATCTCAAATTACATTTGGAATATTAAGACCTCTCTTCTGAAAACTCTCCACAGGTGAATTTTGTTCTCTTCATCTGCATCATTCGAATACTTCGCCAGAAGATAAACTGCCCAGATATTGGAAGAAATGAGTCCAACCAGTACTTGTGAGTATATGAAGCATTATTTTTTTTGACCCTGTGCTTTTTAATAGCTAATATAAAGTGACTGTGTTTACGATTCTCAGAAAATAAATCATCTTTTCAGGATTCTTTATTTATTA